CCTCAAGACTTGGTTATTCCAGCTTGCAGGACTGGCCTAGGGTAATTTTTAGGGGGGTTTTAATTATATTTTAAAATTCGACAAATATTTAAATATTCCTTTTAATTAATTTTAAATTTGTATTGTTTTGTATGTATTTTAAATAGATTGTCAGCCGCCCTGAGTCCTACGGGAGAAGGGCGGGATATAAATCCAAATAAATAAATAAATAAATAAATAAATTGTAAATGGATATGGCAAAAGGGTGAAAGGGGCATTCAAGTACAGTAAGTGGTATACATCATGTCTAAAATAAGTAGATGACAATACATCAAAAAGATACTGTCTCTTAAAAGCTCAGAAAATATATCAGTCCATGTCTATCATGATTAGTATGAAAGAAATGTTTCTCCTGCATCCAACTCATCCTCTTCTTAATTTAGAAAAAAAATGAAAATATCACACAAATACAACTTTAGCTTCAACAAATGTAAAGGTATAGATTCCATACACACATTGCTCAGGTGCTAATTGTACAGAATACTATTTCAAGTTTTCTCAGTTTGTACAAGATTTTTCCAATGACAAGAAACTGGCACAAGACTCCCCAAGTAATAAGAAATCATAACAAAGCAAATCAATAAAAAAAAAATCAAAGGACTTTTAGTAGACTTACTCATTTAACTCTAAAGCTTCATGTGCTGCAGAAATTCTGGCCTGTGGATTTCTTTCTCTCCAAGCCTTTTGCATTACTATGAAATGAAACATTTTTTTTAAATGCAGTAATTTGGAGGTAATCTAAAGTACTAACATATTAGCAAGGCATTTCACCACACAAATAATTAATTAAGTCCAAAAATATAATCAGATACTGATGATAGAAGAAGTACTCTTTCAATATGTTTCAAGAAGAATGAACTTACAACTATTAGTTAATGTCAGCAATGCATTATGTACAAATAAGATAAGAATAGATTACTCCAAAGCAGCTATGAAAACTATCAATGTAATTAAGTGGATCCTTATCAAAAGATAACATGCTGGTCCTTCAGTGTTCTAGCAACCACTTAAGGCATTTTTTACTATTCTGAGGGGAAAAAATCCCTGCTCCCTTTAAAAAAAATAACAGTAAGTTCCCAGAACCAATTATGATAACACAATACAACCATGAGTGCTATTCTACAGCAAGGGGAAACAGCATTTGGAAATACATATGATCACATAATCCAAATTCCAAATCACCATATCAGGAAATATGATACAAATATCATATTATATAAATTATTAAATGAAACACAAGCATTGTTAAGAATCAAGACATCTGTGATATCTTTTATCCCCAATTTCTTAAAACAGACTTTACAATTTGCTACAAATTCAAATAAATTTAGTAAAATTCTTACTGGCATCTGCAGGCCTTAAATGGTCAGTATCACATGTGAAAAATGTTTGATGATCTTGTGCTGAAAGATTCATATCGTAATATGTCAATGGTTCTCTTCCAGTCACCCAGGTGTATCTGAAAATAGAATTGTGTTTTGTGCATTCAGGACAGATGTGCAGGATGAGAAATTGTAAACATAAACATCATACATTCATAATGTGGTGATTTTCCTTATGCTGCTTTTTCTTTTGGTAAAAATTTATCCACACACATCCTTCATCCTTCTTAATATAGTAACCTCCATCTACAAATCCAACTATGGTACTAAAAAGTGATTTTGGAAAGAATTTTAATTGCTTCAAGTTGAAGAAAAATTGAGAAGTTATTGAAGTATTGTCCTATAGTGATATTGTTGATATATATACATTGGCACATTTAATAAATTGAATTTAAAATAATCTTGAAGGCTGTCTTAATTGGTTTAAAATAGTTCTGGATGTACTTACGTCAGCTCTATAATATATGTTTTGATTATGTTAAGGAAGCTACTCTATATTTAAAGAAGCTACTGTATTATTTTCAGCTTCTCCCCTTTATCTTGAGGCTTCTGATTTGGGAGGAGATGAAGCCAAGGTGGTTCAGTGATTGAGGTACTCAAATTCAAATTCCCATTCAATCACAAAGCTCATTGGGTGACTTTGAGCTTAGTCTGATCTAGTTTACAGAACTGTTATAGTGAGGATTAAAATGATAGATAACTCTATGTACACTGCATTGAGTGCTTAAGAAAAACTATAATATAAATGTAGAAAAAGTAAAATATTGTTGTTAATGAGATTCTTCATATAGACTAATAAAGGTACTAAAATAAATTTACAAATTAACACTGCCTGAATGAAACGATTGTCTAGTTCAGTGGTTCTCAACCTGTGGGTCGGGACCCCATTTGGGGTGATCGACCATTTCACGGGGGTCACCAAGCAAGGCTGTCCGCCATTTTTTTTGTCCGCCATTTTTTCCCCTTTTCCGGTGAGTGCCTTACCTCCCTTGGGCTGGGCCAGTTGGTGGTCGGCCTGCTCCGTCTCTGCCGCTTGCCAGCTACACCTTGGCTGGCGCAGGGGGCAGAACCACGCATGCGCGGTGCTCCCGGACAGGGAAAGTCCTCGACTTACGACCGGTTGGGTAGTCCTCGACTTACGACCGGTTTAGTCCTCAACTTACGACCGGTTTAGTCCTCGACTTACGACCGGTTGGGGTTGCGGCATTAAAAAGGTTGAGAACCACTGGTCTAGTTCATGCATTCATCATCCTTAAGTTTAGAATTATCTGGAGGACAGCAAGATCAACCTTAACAGATTCATGTACTTCAGCACTGTTATTCTTGGGATGCTGAAGTGGAAACTTCTGCAGGGGAATGTGTCTTCTTGTCCTATTTTTCTATGTATTTCTAAAAACTGAAGTCTAAACTATGCAGGGTACTTATCTATGCAGGGTAGTGTCAAGTGTTCATTCTTCAACATAAGGACAAAGTAGAAGAGACTGGATCCAAAGTCCATTTATCCTTATTTGAACTATTTGCATAAGATAAACATCTGAAAGAGGCACCTGACTTCTTGAAGTTTACAATGATGAGCTAATGCTTAAAACTACTTTCTCAATAGACTAGAATATGTAACCAGTGTTTAAAAATAATTTCCAAACAGGCTAACATATTTGAATAACAAATCTACAAAGCACTCACCGGTTATATTCAGCTCCTCTAAACAGATTTAAGGGATTTCGCCAGACTTTACATTCTGCCACAAAAACAAAAATGTCTCTAATTATAATTGAATGCTAATATTTATTTGGAAACAAATTATATTCTAATTAGTTATCCCAGGTGGTACATCTGAAACACTTAAATAGACAACCAAATGGTAATAATGTATTTACTATAGATTGGGCACCTTTAAGTGCTGACACTTAACATGTTATATTTAATAAGAAGTATAATCACTTCTTTGATTTCACGAATTATTGGTACCTACAGGAACAAATGAAGATGAATGCTTTCCAATACTGTAAAATTACTAATACATCAAAACTCATTGAGGTAAAATAAACCCTTTCGATAAATATTTCTTAAAAAAGCAAACAATATGTTTCAGAATGATTCCCAAGTATTTTAGATGAGAATAAAAAGGTGATTTGTTAACAAAACAAACATTGCATAGATAATGCCCCTGAATATAGCTTGAATAAAGTAACTGAATGAAAAGAACTGTCCTCTGAAAGCTGTTTTCAGTTAAAAAATTTATATTGTAAATGATTTCATTCTAGATTAGCCATTTGCCAATTGTGATCTGTTGCCACAATTCATCCTGTGGGAATTAACACCAAGTAGCAAGTGGATTCACATGTGAGCTTAGAAATCAGAATTGTTGAAGTATTTTCTTTAGTCACTTTGGGCCTAATTATTACTTCAGCAATGTTACACTAACTAGTTTACAGTACAGATCAGCAGAATAATACAATAGTCAGCTTTTTGTAATCTTCCTCTGCTGTTATGTAATAAATAAAATAAGACTCCAGCTACTGATTATTTATTTGTATCCTATTATTATTTTTACAAATAAATCAAGGCAGCAAAGATATCCAACAAATCTTCCTCATCCTATTTTCCCCACAAAAACCACCCTGTGATGTGGGTTGGGCTGAGAGAGAATGACTGGCCCAAAGTCACCTAAAAGGATTTCATCACTAAGACAGGATGTGAACTCATGGTCTCTGGCTTTCTAGTTTGTATTTTAACAATTAGATCACACTGATTCTATTAAATAATCTCACATTGACAAGAAAATAGAGAAATAAAGGCAGAGAACTCCATACTGTCTGAGAGCCAATTTGGAGATTCCAGTACCCCATTTATCAAAATGGTTCCCTAGCTTTGTTTTGTTCTGACACAGTGAGCAGTAAAGCTATGCAAGAATTTTAGTGGAAAAGATAAAATTAAAAAAAATACACACACACACAAACAAAAAACATTTTTTAAAAAACTTTCTGGCCCAGTCTTCAACCGTGGGATTTTCTTGTGATTTCTCACCAAGGCTGATTAGTGTTTGCAGAAGTGAGCAAATCAAGCTTTCCCAAATATATCAAACATCATAAATGATAAAAAATAAGCAGTGATTTGCTCAATCTGCAGAAAGAACTTTTAACTGATATAGTTAACTTGTCCTGCTTAAAATATAAAATAATTATTTAAATTAATTATTCATAATTAGTACATTGTTAAATTGAAATGATGATTAAATTATAATTATTTTACCTGAAACACTTTGTCGGTTTGAATCTGAGTCCCCATTGCTTGTATTTGAGTTACTGGGGGAATTATTGTCCACCCCACCCAGTAGAGGGCGCAAGTGACTCACAGAGACTTGCTCTATGAAGGAAGTTCCATACTTTCGAAAATACCACCATTCAAATATCTAAATCAGATGGGAAAACATGTAATTATTTGGCTTTTTAAGCTATTTCTACTGCCATTCACATTTACAGAATGTAAACTTAATACTGAAACATATTTTGGATAAAATATTTGTTATAATTTATACAGTGCTATGTGGTATACTAGATTTCCTATATATTAAAACAGGAAAAAGAAAGAATGGGTGGAAACATTGACAAGGAATGTGGACAAATGAAATAATAGATATTCTAAAATTTGAGTGGGGAGCACTAAGGGGAATAGTGAATGATCAGAAAAAAGATGTATAGAGTTTGAATTCAACACATGGAGAAGGAGACTAAAAAACAAATCTAATGAGCAATGGAATTATTTGATAGTTCCCAAATAAGAAGTTAACTTAAATGGCTATTTTATTTCTATATTTCTGTGATTCATCCATGCTGATTCTACTTCATTTTATAGTTCTACTTATACCAGGGAAAAGCTTCATATATATAAACCTACAACCAGCAGTGATCCTACAAGTGAAAAGCAGCAATATGAAATGTTCTGCAGATAGGGAAGAAGAGGATTCAGCCAACTTTGAATGTATTGAATATGTTCCAAGGAGAGGACTTCCACATCTCCCCAATGGAATGTAAGATCCTAGGGCTTTTCCCTCTCCTAGGCTGGGGCTTATTGGCCAAGCAGTAGAAGTAGGGGAATTATTCTCATTCTCACACACTTATTATTGCACTATAAAAGCCCTTCAAGCAATGTGATGATTCTAAAGAGGAAACTTAGAGGTGAACTGTTGGGGTGGGGTTTGTTTTTTGCTCCTTTAACCTATTGATTTGAGTGGGAAACCAACAGATCCTGCCTTCTATGCCTGCGGTCAACCTCTCCTAATAAAAGTTCCTTTTGGGATGGTTTTGTTCCAAGAGTTCTGCTTTCTTTGGAAGAGATGCACCCAAGAACTTTTGAAGCAGTTCCATTGGGATGTTTTTGCTCCCCCCCCTATAGCCCAGATTTGGCGCCGAGCAACTACTACTAACAAATTTCAAACCTTGTAAGAAGTTATGACAAGTGCCTCAATTGGAATGGCGATTATGTCAAAAAGTAATGTAATATTGTAGTTTTCTAATGTGTATAATAAAAGTTCTTTATCTGAGAGTGTCTGTCATTGATAACCAAACAGAGGTTTATTTCTGAATTGCCCTCATATGTTAGGTATCATACATACATCTAATAAATTAAACTGTGATGTATTTATCTTTAATGTGCCATTAGAGAAGCAGCTCTCAACCTTTTCTATACCCTGCACCTCTAGAACACTTCTGATATATTCTAGCACCTCTTACAAAAGTTCGAAATAATGAATTATGCATATACACTATAATTTTGAAATGTCTAAATCCAAGTTTTTGCACCCCCTGGAATATTGTCTAGCAGCCCCAGGGGGTACAAGCACCCCGGTTGGGAATCCCTGCATTAGAGTCTTTGTTTTTATATATATGTCTCTAGTTTCATGGCCAGAAATTTGAACTAATACACAGAGTGTACTTTAAACAAATTGGTTTTTTCCTATGCTAATTGAAAAATGTATGATTTCTCTAGTATGTACTGTAGCAAATTTGCTCCACAGAACAAGACTTAATGTTCAGATTAATTTGTGACTAACATGAATTATACAAGATACATAAATATGGAAACTTGAAGGAAAAAAGACAAAAAACCTATAGCTGTAAAATCCAATGTATTATAGAAGATTATAAAATATTTTAAAAATAGATCTAGTACTTACCAAAATAAGCCCTGAGATTAACGAAGAAGTGCCTGTCAAGGCAACGTAGAATTTGGGTGTTAACGTGTTCAAAAACATACTCACTGAAAGAGAAAGACAAAAAAAGGTCAGTGTAAGGACCCACTTCAAAATCTCTTCCAAAGAAAGCAGAACTCTTGGAACAAAACCATCCCAAAAGGAACTTTTATTAGGAGAGGTTGACCGCAGGCATAGAAGGCAGGATCTGTTGGTTTCCCACTCAAATCAATAGGTTAAAGGAGCAAAAAACAAACCCCACCCCAACAGTTCATCTGGTCAGTTCAAATGGGCCAATCCCCAGGTGTTAAGTCCGCTGTGGGAACGAGGCTGATAAAACTCCGTTCCCAAGGTTGTGAAAACATTGTTGGGTCTTTGCACCTTCCCTTCCGCAGCGAGAGATAAGCCAGATGACCAGAGGCACATTCCTTTCTCACCCCAGGTTGGCATCAAGGGGAGAATAGTTCAAAGAGCAAGCAGATAGAGGAAGCGGAGAAGATACATTATAGCAGCTAAGTGAAAGGCCAATACAAATACAATCCCCCAAAAGCCTCCCCCCTCCCCCCAGGAGTATGGCAGAACCCAGAGAGAGGAAAAGAAAAAGAAAGGAAAAGGAAAAGGCTCCACCACCAAAGAAATGGGTTCTGACAGTCACTAATGATTTGCCTGGTTTTCCCTTTACCATAATCTGAAATAAAAATATGAATATATGCAGAAAAAACAATTGCAACCAGACTGCATTCTAACCTATATACTACACGTGTCAGAAAGAGGGCTGAGAAAATATCTAGACCCCTCATATCCTAGACGTAAACTGTTTCAATTCCTCCCCTTGGGACAGAGCATTGCATGCCAAAACAACTAGATGCAAAGACAGGTTTTTTTCCTCGTGCCATCACTCTACCGAACATCTAATTCCCTGTCTTGTGTCTAAGGATATTTGCCCGTGTAGTATTACTATTATCCTTCTCATCTTTTCTACTACCTTCTCCTATTAGTATCTTATGATTATATTACATTGTTTTTTATATGTACATTTTTTGTTTGTATGTACATGTTGTTTGTATGTTGTTTGTAGGTATCCTGTTCACAAGACACACATCTTAACAGAGTTAAACTTTGTGAAACATGAAAGGCATGTATGTATGTATGTATGTATATATATATGTGTATATATATATATATATATATATATATATATATATATATATATATATATATATATATATATAAAGGTAGAGCCACAATAATAACTTTGTGCATGCATGCAAACAGCTAGGAGTAGCTTCTGAAGCAAGATGTACAAGCCTTATAATGAGGTGGCTGCATTAACAATCTGAAGAGAGATATCTTTGCACCCCTCTACGCTGCAAGGTATCTTTTTCAATAGTTTTGCACATCTTCAATGTAATGCTGTATCTTCAATGGAAATGCAAGTAGTTTTGCCTAAAGATGGGTATTTAATAATATCAACACTAAGTCAAATGTGGCCAAACATCTCTCTCTTTTTAGCATCTTATTCTTATCTTTCGAATGTCAAAGAACTTTCTGTACATTTTCCCCATATATAACAGCCATTAGGAGAAAGATATGTCTATATTTTCAATTTGCAACCAGAAACATATGGTTGACTGTATGGGATTCAAAAAGTTAAACTAGTATGGGCCTTGGGTATGATTCAGCAGGATATTCTTATGTTCTTAAATAAGCATTATGCAAATTTTTACATGTGACTTTATGTAATTTTTGTATATAGAAAATGTATTTAATTTTTTAACTGTCTGGTTTCATCCTTCAGAGGAAGAAAACACTGTAGAGATCAGAGATAAAATATTTCCACTGGTTTCAAGAGCAAAAAAGATCCCAGCTGGGGGGTTGGAGGAATTTGCAGCTACAGTAAGTTTGTCTCAAGAGAGAAATGAATTGGCAAAAACAGTTGAAACCAACTCTCAAATCTTGCCAAATATACTGTGATCATATAAGTAGCATGCTGAACAGCTCCCTGGAGACCAAAGCTATAATTATCAACAAGTAGGAGGTTACATTTCAAGCTTTTTGACTGCTCAACTGTACCCTTCTAAAAATTGCTTGTTATATATCAAGTGTCATACTTTCTGGCACACAGAATTGCCAGAATTGATTGCCATGATAGTACTTTAATTCTAAGCATGGGCATGATGTTTATAATTACACTTAGAAATGTGCAAAATTATTTCCTTTGGCCTTTGATTGTAAATGTTCATAACTACCCTGAATATATTTTGCATATATTTGTTTTTTTGCACTCAAACACAATGTCTTTATGTTATAACTTGCATTTAATTTTCCTTTATTGTTAGACTGTGTTTAATATATTTCTCCCTTTCTTTCTATGTTTTCACATATATGGCTATCAACACCTTTAAAAAATCCCTCTGCAAATCATGTTATGGCTCAAGCAATTGCTTTTCACATGTCAAATAGCTATAGTGGCCTAGAAGTATGGTTTTGCCAAATAAGGCAACATGAACGTAGACTAAGAAGAATGATGACACAGGAGAACATAACAGTATATTTCTCACATTAGCTAATTTGTTAAGAAAACCCAGACTGTGCAATGCCTATTGCCTTGCAATTAACATTGGGGGAAATCCACAGGAAATAATTCAGCTATCAAGCCTCAAAGAATGCTTATGCTGTTTCAGCCATTATTGCTTCTTAGCTTGCCTAAGAACTCAGAGGGAAGGGAGGGAAGAGTGGAATGCAGAGTTCTGATATCAAGAGGCCAGTCCATGAGAACCAAGGACATTCAAGATTTGTTTATTGAGAACTAAAGACATTCTCTCATAATAGTTATCTGAATTATAATTGGATAATGTGACCTGCACTAATAGGGGGAGGGAGACTTTTATACTTTTAATATAGCAAATTAGGTGGGAAATAACCAGAGCTGGTTTCCTTTCACCTGTACCGAAATGATGTGCTCAATAAAGTTTTGCATTAGAGATTGGATCATTTCAGATCATTGGGTTCATCATTCAGAACCTTGACATCAGCATGATTTCATGTGAATTCAGTGCAAAAATCTTCAATACCTTAAAATATAATATTCCTATAAAAGTGATCAGAGAAATAACATTTTCATTAGTTTGCAATGTAATTTATACAAACTTTGAAAATCAAAAGTGATTCTTTTTTGGAGAGTCATTAAAGGGAATTTTTTTGGTTCCCTGAGATTCTTGGATGAGGGTAATTAGCTTACATCCTGTTTCCAGGATGATGCACCAATTCAAAATTACATGACCTTGATCACTGTATTTGTTGGTACAAATTTAACTAATTTTAAAAATATCTACCATAGCTTATAATTATTTATAATTATAATAATGACCTATTCTGAAAACAACAGTTATTTTCTGGTCCAATTCAATTTATGGGCTTTGATCTTTACAATCTTACCTGGCTAAAGACTACTGGGCAATCAAAGGGTCTGACTGTCTTATTATAAACTTGTCTCAGATGCAGAAAGTGGGGTTCTTTTGTTAAGCTCATAGATCAGGAGATCAGCACTCACTTTCTAATTTCTAAAAACAGCATTTAGGAACTATACTGTTCCTTTCACTATGTCTTTTAAATTACTTTGCAGATTTTATTGCTTTAGCGTTTTAAATATTTGTTATTGTTACTGTTATTACTGGTTCACTGTGAATCATTTTGGTTGCTTTTTAACAGGCAGCACAGAAATATTACTGAAGGAAGAAAGGAAATGATAGTGGTAAGTGCTACTAATGAAAATAGTAATGCTGCTTATTCTAAAAGTTTATTTTGGTGACTCAATCCATTCTTCAATAGCAAAACACGTTTTATATGCATAATGCTGCAGCTTCATTTTGCCAAATCTCTAGTTGCAAAGATCTCAGTTGGATATACCTATTGCTATTGCAGGAAAAAGTATTGGACCAACAATCTGGTTAAATATAAAGCTGCTTCATTTGGTTTAAGTTTCTGATAATGATTTTCAATTGCTTTTCATACAAATGTTATAGTGTTTTTAACCATTTTGACTTTCAAACCACATTTGAAAGAGAAATTAGATTAATAACACAAACATAAATATGCTAAAATATACAATATAACAGTTACATTAATGTCCATGACATAGGCATCCTGATATGGAGAAAATTGTAAATGGGAAAAGGTTAACACTCACACTTTGAATTGTGCCTGGAAAGGAATCAAGTACCAGGTTAACCAGTTGCTTAACAATTCAAAGATGTGCTCACTCTTTGCCTGTTTTTCTTTCCAGAGGGCTGTATCAAAACACTGTGCCACAGTAGCCTCTCCAGAATTGTGGCCTCCTATGGAGGTCTGGGACAAAAGTCCCCACCAGAAGTGGTGATTTGACTGCCAAGAAAGCTATTCTTTGTCTTGCTGTTGGGATTGCAGGCTGAGGATTATTAGTTAAGCCTCAGAGATTCATTACTACTTCCCTCAAGCAGGTTGATAGTATGGTTTTCTCTTGGGAGCTTCCTTGGGTTAATTTAATAGTCTTGTCTAGCAAACTCTGCAGAGATTGTTCTGCAAATCCCAGCCAAAAGATTAACATCATCATGATGGTGCCTTCAGAGATTTTAAACCCACTGTTCTGATAGAAATGCTAATTCAAAAGTGTTAATGACTGTTTTGGATGAAGGAAGGGATGTTACAGGGAACAAATGAAAATACTAAATAACTTGCTATGAAATATATTGGTTTTACATTTCTGGGTCATTATGAAGCATTGGCAATATCACTGCCCAGGCAGTGGATAAACCAAAAGAGTTTGAAATCTTACTACCAAAAACATCAGCCTACTATAGGGCAATGATCCCTTAAAATAATCTTGCACCTTTATAAAAAAAACCCTGAAAAACTGCAATATTGTTCTAATTATATTCACTCATACATTGTACATACATATAACCAGGGCTTTTTTTCTCATAGAACGCCCAGAACGGAGTTCCGGCACCTTTTTTGGATGGAACCTTGTAGGGTAGGCAAGGCGGGTTGTATGATGTGTGTGACTTCCGGCACCTTTTTTTTTTTTTTTTACAAAA